TGGCGGCGCCTTTCCCCCCCCCCCCCCCCCCCCCCAAAAAAAAAAAAGGGTCTTGGAGTTTGCTCTGACCCTACTACACCCCTGTCTGTAACCATTTGTAACCAGTGACATTTTCCCATCAATAACAAAAGAGTATATTCCCAACTTGATGAGTCGGACTGTAGCTGCACAGCTCTCATGAATGCTAATGGGAATACAGCCTTTCTCCATCTCCATGCAGGTTACTTTGCATATCCTAATAGCGCATACTCAATGAGCAACAGGGTCAGTGTTAATCGCTTCATGGCATTCCAAGTGCAACTACAGGATCTCTACCATCTTTCCTTTGGTCATGTTAGGTGTAATGCTGCTTAAACAGAGCAGAAGCTAGGAAATGGGATACACATTTAGAAACACTAGAAGACTCTTAAAAGAGTAGTCCAGAAGGAAAGTAGGTCAGTGATCAAGATAACAATTATTACCTTTTCTGAATCATCTTCAGCATTTCCTCCTCCTGCCAATGTAACCATGTCACTTTCCATCAGCATGTTGTAAGTTATGAAATAATTAGCATTTATATTTACAGATGTAAGTCAAGATATTCAAATTAGAGCTGCTAAAGTTAAGCACCTAAATGCATATTTTAATCTCATGAATGAAAGGAGATGAAATATCATGGGTCACTGAAAAAATGCAGAAATTTACAGTATTTGTGCCTAGCCAGTGATTAAAGCTATCCAGAAGTCAAGTTTAAGGGGGAGGGTCACATCAAAGTAAACTCCCAGTCAACATGACTCCAGTAAAACTAAGCTGTAGTTCATTTCCAGCTAGTGCCTGCCTTTGGACTCTAGAAAAATAGTAATGGGACACTTCTAAGAAACATAGACAAATGGAAATATATAGTTCATGTGTACTGTGGTCCCACAAAGTCTTAATCACATGAGCAGTCTCATAGGTAGATTTTAATGGCAATATTCATGTGTACAAATTAAAGTATGTAAGTAGTCAGAGATCAGAGCCTAAATAATACTAGTGCCAATTCTTAATACACAAACCCTATATAGCTGTTTCTGATTTTTAGTGTTACTTGAAATTTTTTTTTGTTTCCCTTAATTTAGTCAGCCTGAATTAGTTTATTTTTAGTTTATGTTATTATATTTCAGATATCCACTTATTTTGATATATGTAAAGATATGTCCTTTCACAGATGATTTCTTCAGCACACCAGTAGAGTGCATTGGTTGCCTGGTATTCACTTTTAGAAAAAAATATCTCGGTAAGAGACAGCATGCATGCATGCATGCATCTGATTATGTTTTGCATTGAGCTCTGTTCAGTAATTCATTGACTAAAAAAACCTCTCTCTGAAGTCAGTAGGTCAAAGTCAGGGGTGATATATAAAGTGGAAAATTAGACTCCTCAATAATAGTTTGAAAATCCTTTGTGGTCTCATTTCCATATATTTAATAAGACTCACTAATATGTGTATATACTTGCACTTTACTAATTTGTAAATAAATCTGCACTGATGTAACTTATACACTGAATGTTTTTCATAGCTTCATTGAATCTACAGCCAGTTGGGACCATAAAATTAATGACCTCTCGTTAATTGTCTTCTGTGTTACAAAAGTCTGTGTTATTATCAATTTGTTTCATCTGGTTTCAGCTTCTTTCTCTCTGCCTTTCTCAGCTAAATTAAAGAGCCCTTTGGCACTCTGAATTTTCTTTGTTGAGGTTGTTGTACTCTGTACTCAAGTCATTTCTCAATTTCCTTTTTTTGACAAAACAAATAGATTGGATTTTTAAAATCTCCAATTGTAAGGCATATTCTCCAGTCCTCAAATCACCCCCATGACTATTTTGTACTGTTTCTAGTTTTTCAATATCCTTCTTAACATGTGGACACCAGAACTGTTTTCAGTATTCTAGAACTATATTCACCAGTATTATGTGCAAAGATAAAAATTCCTCTTACTCCCTGTCCCTCATTACTTTGTTATTTATACATTTAAAGATTACATTAGCCCTTTTTTGTCACAGAACAGCACAGGAAGCTCAGGTTAAGTTCATTTTCCACAATGACTCAGAGATCCTTTTCAACAGTTCCCCATGCTGCTGGTATGGGCTGCATTCTCTGTTCCTAGAAATATTGGCTTATATTAAAGCACATTTTGTTTGCATGGTCCCAGCATACTAAGTGATCACTATGTATGACTGCCCTGTCTTCATTTATATTTACCATTCTGCCAGTCTTTGTGCCACCCATACATTTTTTCAGCTATGATGAAACATTTTTACATAGTTACATTAAGATTGTTGATGAAAATGTTGGATAGCATCAGGTATAGCACTAATCCCAACTAAACCTCACCAGAAATACTCTCATTGATGATGATGCAGTGCCTTCTAAGATCTGTCATTTAGCTGGTTCTTATCCATTTGCTTTATCAATATTGTCCAGTGCTAGTTTTTTGTTGTTGTTGTTGTTGTTCAGAAAGTCATGTGGTACAAAGTTAAATGGTATGCAAAAGTCTGCTATATCCATTGAAATCAGGTCTGAGAACCCATTTTTTCATAAAAATATACTGACTGGCACTACCATAATTCTTTATTGAATCTCATGTGAATTTACCTATTATTTTGCCCAGATTGATGTCAGGCTAATTGGGCTCTAGAATTACCCGGGTCATCCCTTTTAAAATTGGCACAACAATAACAATCTTTCCACTGTCTGGACTTTTCTTGGAATTCAAACATTGTAGATAAATGTCAGCACAAAAGATTTATTTAGCCAACAATTTCAGGACTCTTGGGTGCAACTCTTTTGCTTCACTGATTTAAAGACATTTATTCCTGGTAGGTTTATCCCTGGACAAATCATCCACAATCAGGGAAGTGCAAATATGAGTTTCAAGCCACCATTTTGCAAACCTTGATTTGCATCCTATGCAGCTTGGCTTCACTCCAAGTGCTGGTCTAAAGTATCTTGATAAGTCCTAATGCTTTAGGTTTGGGACAAACGCTGCATAAACCGGTTTGACCCAGATCAGTTAAGTCTGATCCTACATTCAACCAGGTTTATCTCAAACTGGTTTCAGCCATTTTCAAACTGGCATTGAACATCTGTTCTGTTACAGGCTTAAACGAGTTTCTGATCACTTAAACCGTTTTATGTGTAATGTCTCTCCCTAGCCTTAGAGGTTACTGCCTTCACAGTCTGCCATGTTAATGCTATATTTGGACACTGCACTGAGGGCATAATCACAGTTTCTATTCATAACTGTGCAAAGGTATAAAGCAATATACTTTTATATTAGCATTATTTTCTCCTCTTGTGAGTCATACAGATGATATTGTATATAATTTTTATCTTTCTTGAAAGAATAAGGAAAATTTTACCAAAGAAATGTATTTGGTGCTTCAGGAAGTTAGAAACCCAAATATTCATGGCAGTATGGAATTTTTTGAGACTTGATTATATTCTTCATACCGAGCAAGCTACCCTCATATTCACACTTCTCTTTTTTACAGTAATTTGTAGACAACTATTGATATCAATTTCATTTAGTATGATCAAATTTAACAAGGATCTCCAAAATAACTGTTGTCTTAAAGTGTGTTAGGAATTTATAACAAGTTAAATTTTGCAGTTGATATTTATACCTAAATAACATAGACAGGATTACAGCAGGTGTAACAACTCTTTAACAAGAATATTTTCATAAATTTTCAAATGGATTCCCTCCTCCCCCATCTTCTACAACTTTCATCTTTCTGTTTGATTCAGTCTGTATACTGGGCAGCATAATGCTTCAGAAACCTTTACGTTTTCTTTTGCTGAGTATCAGGCATGTTAATGCAAATATATTATGAGTCATCCCCCCATATGAAGAAACAGTTTTGTAGCCCCCACCACATCGGTAAAGTGTTTGCAAGGTATTCATTTGCTGGCATGGCGAGATGAATTTAATGAGAAGAAACAAGGAATTTGTTTTATTAGTTTTCCTCCAACTCACAAGTAATAAATCTTAAAAGCTTCAATATTGATTCAATGAAATGAATGGCTGAATAATTCTGGAGGGGCTCTGACAAGTGGACAAATGCTTCCATGGTTACATTGTGCTATGCAGTGTGGTTACTGAGCTTTGTTGGTTTCCTCCCTCCGCCATTGAAGTAGAATAACAAACCACAGGGAAGCGCCACACATGGTGGGCATAAACTGGGAATAACTTTAAAAGATCAAGTTAGCTGGTCTTACACAGATTTTGAACATTACACTTTCTCTTGATTTATGCAGTAACTACTCTAAGCATTTAAAGGGAAGAATATTGAGGCACATGTCCCTTTTTGATGGACAAACTATTTTTTATCATTCATGTGAACAATCCCCACCATTTGGTTTGATAAGCCATAAATGAAAAGGGTTCAATAGGAACACTTTTTATAATAGAGAAAGCTGCAAGATTTGCCAGATTTTTCTATGGAATGTTCTTAAGTACACTTTTACTTTAAGCAATTTTCTTACATAATGCCACTTTCCCATACCTTATCTCTGAGAAGACCTTTACAGTACATATTTCATGAATAATAAAATGTATGTAGATCGCATCCTTTCAGAAGCATATTACTGAATGCTTTCCAGCATAATTAAAGGGTCTGCTTCTTCACTCTCTCACACCCTTTGTGCTCAATATTGCTTTATACTCATTTTGCACTTACTTGCACAGATCTGAAGTGCTATATGAAGAGCAGAGCTGTAGAGTCAGACCCACAGATAGTCAGGATTTTAAAAACAACTAGAAGCAGTAACAAAGAGTTTCCCCGAGTTCAAAAGGGAGCAACAGAGTAAGCATTACAAATTAGAGGATGAAATCTGTTATGTCCTTCAACAGGTTTTACTCGGGCCAGAAATTAAGATGAAATCAAAAGGTGCAGCTTGAGAAGAGTACACAATTTACCTGTATAATGAATACAGTAAGCAGTCATGTTCATCCTATATACTTAGCAGGTCCAAGAAGGACCATGTTAGGGATATGTAGCTCCATGTAGACTAGATCTTTAAAGACATGATTTAATACCCCAGTATATACATCAGGGTTTTGCTCATGAATAGGAAATCAGTTTCATAACAATGGAGGACATTTACATTCTGAGAGGAAAATCTTGGCTCCATTGCAGTAAATAACAAAACTCCCATTTATTTCAGTGGAACTAGGATTTTACCCTGAGTAGTTAGTTTCTACTTGGTCCTAATTCAGGGAAATTACCATTCACTTCATGGAAGAAGGAAAGACCAACAAATTAACTTCTAATTTTGGCCTTTAGACTTTAAGGGAAGAAATGATGAAACACGTGAGTTACGTAATCCACTTTAAATGAATATTAGAAACTCTTTAAACTTCTGGTTCCGAGGTACTTTTCCAGCTATTATGCATGTAGGAGAATTCTTATCTATGAGGTAACATAAACTAAATAAAAATTTGCATGCACCAGATGGAGCTGCTTCATATTTTACTTTATTGGTTTGAAATACTTGCTGAGAAAA